CTCTCTCTCTCTCTCTCTCTCTCTCTCTCTCTCCTTTCTTCTCCCCCCCTTATTGTTCCCTCTCTTTCTTTTTCTCACACATGTGTATTTTTGCTGCAGATTAGCATGATATTAAAACTTACTGATTCGCGTTGATGTTACTAGCACAGGGACAGCTCCTATAAATAATAAGAGAAATACTTAGGAACTACGACTTAGGAATTATATTTCAGTTCACTACAATTTGCGAGTTGCGCTTTATAGACAACTAAATTATACAATACGCGCAGCGAGCAGTCTTATGAAACTACAAAGCGAGAAAATGCCTTTAACGTTATACATGATAACAGATTCTCAATTAACTACATTACCAATGCAAATTTCCATAATGCTATTAAATGCCATATATTATTTGGTACAAACAAGCTACAAACTTTTCCACGACAATTTCCATCTTGGATTGTGTACTTTATTAGATGATATATAGATCATTTAAAATAGGATCGCAAAAAAAAATCACAAAAAATTGATACAATATTTTTTATTTTTATATACAGTGTCTGTTTTGCAAGTATAATTTATCAGAAAAATGGCTTTCTATTTTACATTTGCGGAGATGACATTACATTGTATTCAATTTTCAAGTTCTTAATTGTTTTCTAATAAGCTTACGTCGAAATGGGCATTGAGTAAATCCTTTCTATAGATAACCTTTTTTATTTCGCAAATTTGTTAATATATCTACGATTCTCCATTGGATGTGTAATACAAGTTGTATTACATCATTCGCAAGTATGATATTTGAAAACTGTGAGCCAAGCTTTTACACATGCTCGCTTAACTATGCTGTCGCTGTTTTTCCTCCCCCTTTTTTTTGCAATTCATGAAGTTACTTTGTTACCATCAAGCACATTCGAAATGCGTCGTTAATTAAAATTTTTAATGAATTCTCTGACGCTTCATATTGTCGAGATGAAACAGCGTTGCTTTTTTTCCTGCGGTATTCTGGCGTTGAACATATCGATATGAATTTCACCGTCGCGCAACTTTATTTTTGCGTTAAGTTCGATACAGGGAAGGGGTATACGTTCATTAAATTTTTTAATTGCAATATGATGTTCGCGTATTTTAATTTTAAAATTATTTGTGTTGCCCTTCTTTCTCCGCGCAAAATAATTCGATGATGCGGTAATGATACCGGATTACGATATATTATTCATGTTATTCTAATTTTTTTAAAAACAACATTAAAAAAAAATATTTAAAATACAATTAAAAAAAAGAATAAACATAATTTTGTTTTTGTTTTATTTGAATGAGAGCTAGAAACAATTTTTTTCTCGTAACATATCGAAATAAATAACTTTTATTACATGTTTCTGAATCTAATCACGATATAATTTTTCGAAATTAATTTTTATCCTATGTTATTTCTTATATAACAAATTCACCTCTAGAATTATTATCGCTTAAAAAGCCGGCCAATTCTCTCTACCGATTTCCGAAATCTTTTCGGTGGATAGCCGACGAGCGTAGAGAGTATCGGCACGATAACCACTGGCTCGTATTGATCCTCGCGGGGGTGTACAGGGGTTGAAAGAACCAAGAGCAAGAGGGATGAAGAGAGAGAGAGAGAGAGAGAGAGAGAGAGAGAGAGAGAGAGAGAGAAAGCTTCGGCTGCACACACACATATACACGCTTTCAGGGATGCGGGCGTGTGCCGTGCATGCACGTGTATGTTTGACAGTGAGGCGGAATGACAGAGAGAGGGCTGAAAGAGGGGAATAGCGAGAGAGCCCGTGAGGCAGGGGGGGGGAAACCGCCGGGAGAAGAAGGGTGAGTTTAGCCGTGGAACATCCCTCGGTGACTGACACACACACACACACACACACCCCAAAACCGAACCAACCCCGAATCTAGTCCCAACCTAACCTGCAAGCCCGTACAACCCGACCCGGGATACCCGTGGCACCACCACTTGCGTAAAGAAGTCAACTTATGCGAGACCCAGAGGGGGCGGACGCGTTTGCTGCAACCCACCGATGAAGAGACCCACTCTCGTCGCGCACAAGCGAGGACAGCAAGCTCTCGATTGCAATATGCAAAGCCGCCCCGTCGTAATTACAAAAATGTATTCGCGCTGGGACGGGCGATCGCGCACCGGCCGTGTCAGGAAAAAAGCATTTTAATCGCTTTTTACGTGCCGCTTTATGGAGATGTCCTGTTCGCCGAAAATCGCGCCGATATATGAACGACATGAGGCGTCAAGCGCAATTTGTTTAACATAACATGACGATGGACATTACGCAAATTTTGGAGAATATTTTGTTTACGGAAGCGGGAATTGGTGACGCGGGGATATATATTATTTCTCATTATAATAAAATAACTCCATAATATACATTACGTTATATATAATATTAGAAACTATCTAAATATACGGAAAAAAGCTACGGCATAATAAATTAATTTTTACGTGGAAACATTATATTTTTAGCAAAGAGAAACAATTAAAAAAAATTCAATATTGCCATATCAAGAATTTTGTCCGCGAAAATGGTAGCGCCTACCTCTCATTACGAATCGTGCCACGGGTCTCGCTTATCAAACGCCATGTGGCACGTTAATATGTCGTCCAACATCAGGCAGTTTTTTTTTTTTTTTTTTTTTTTTATGCAGCTATGCAAACGACCGTCCAGAGTGCATTTCGGAGTCGGGATTGTCGGTCGTGTCGAAACGTCCCTTGGTAACGACAGCAAGAGGGTTCCGCCGAAAATACATGGCGAGACTATCTCCCCACCCTCATCCCCGCTCTTCATTTCCCTCCTTCTCTGTTGTCTCTGGTGTCGATGAACCTCGTCCTTTTCGCTCTTCTGTCTCAGCGCTGTATCTATCCGCCTTGCACACTTGCCATGATAATCATTGATTCCATCCCGCTCAAATCTGTCGACCAATGTCCAAACGTGTATGATCGAATGGTCATTGTAATCCTAGCGATTTCCTAGTTTCATGACACTGATTAATCGTGCCGATTAAGATCGTCGATATATCTGCCAACAGTGCTGACATTATCGCTTAAGTAACAGGCATTTCTCAAATTTTTATTATAAATTTAAAATAGGTATGTATACTTATTGTTTATTTTAAATATGTTCTAAGATTGTAAAATTTAAATATGTTATGATAATTTATATTTTTTTTTTTGTAAAAATTTGTTGTTTTTAATTTTAGTTTAGATGAATGCACCTTTTAACATTTATTGAATAAAAATGATAGGATTAAAAATATAATTTCAATAAGATAATTTTAAAATAATTATTTAAAATTTATATTTTAAAGTTTATATTTACTATATGAAAGATATTTGCTTTAAAATTAAGTTCTAACTTGGTATAACAGAGAAGTGATTATTATTACCTAAATTCAGAGATTTTTGAAATAGCGCATCGCACCTCGTGGCGCCTCGAAATTCCGCTTTCGCGTCACTAATTAATTACATTTAGGCAACTAGCGGTACGCGATAAATTAATTTTCCTGTAACGCGGCCGTACGAATCGGCAGCTTTGTAACGAAGGACTAACAATATACGGTACGAATTATCATCAAAGCGTGGAAATTCGCGTCGACGACGTTTATTAGATCGTTTGCGCGTGCCCGGATAATTCCTCGATTGATTTTGAAAATCGCATTACGGCAGATTCCAGGGATCCAATTTGTATCTCCGATCGGCTATAGGAGAATCAATTCTTGAAATAAATCAATCATCGGACTAGTTCCAAAAATAGGATAATCTGTCAATGATAGCGCAATGTGTCTTTATCTGCTCAAAATCGACACGAGCAATTAATCCTACTCCAAGAAAGTGAGTTACTACATTCCTGATTTTCCTTTTATTCCCTGTTCATTCTTTTTTCTTCTTTTTTTTTTTAACTTTATATTATTTTTAACGATTTTAATGATTTACACTATTAAAATTTCTCGCGATATATATGACTGAAAGACCGGACTATTAAATTTTTCCAACTACTATATGTCCGTTCATTGACATCTTGAATTATGCCGTGCACAGCCAAGACAAAAACTGGATGGTGACATCTGTGGGTTAACGTCGAATCCCAGACAGTCGGGTCGTTCACCCTGATGAGTCGGGAGTCTCCAAAATAAGCGGTAAACGCACACACACACACACACACACACACACACACACACACACACACACACACACACACACACACACACACACACACACACAC